CTGTTTTTACAAATTACAAAACTTGACATTTGTTTTAAACTATACTTTTGAATTTGATTTTACGCTTTCTGAGATTCAATAATAATAATCATGAAATATTTTATTAAATTATTGTATTTAAGAATATAATATAACTTAAGATTAAGGTAAATTTAATAATAATATTATGTAAACTTATCATGCTCTTATGAGAATTAAACATACGCATCTCTCTCTCTCTCTCTCCCCTTACATAAACTTTTGAGCCATAAGATTTTTGAGCTAGATTAAAGCTAGATTAATACTAAACAGTCGAGTGGGATTAAATTTTGTTATTGATCAAATCAAAAATATAATTTAATAATTATTAGTTGTGATTTTTTAACAGTAATATTGCAATATTTATTTGCTTGCAAATTGAAATGGCAATCTTAAACATAATATTGCATCAAAACAATGAATTCTTTATTAATACTGTATATAACATAATAATGGAGACAACGAGTCAATTGTTTGAACAGAAAATACAAATACTATCTAATCTATGAATTGAATGAATGTTAAGACATGTATGATTTGAATGAAACTCAGAAATGCGATACTTTAGGAGTGAGATGTTAGTAGCAGTCATGCAATACAAATGCCTGATGTGATGGACAGCAACAGACCATAGGATATTCAATGATTTTGACAAATTGAACAATAACTGAATTTGTTATTTTGTATAAATGACATAATTATGGGGAACAGTATGGTATCCTATAATACTATAATCTAAAGTCTCTTCAGAAACCGATAAAAGTAGTGAACAAACTTTTAAATGTTACAATACTTCACAGAAAGCTTTCATATAATATATTGAAATAATACATATAGTATTCATACCTGTTGTTTGGTCAGCATAGGAATCAAATGGCATTTTACATAAAATTATATTCAATCACTTAAAACCCATGTATTTATAAGTTTGCTTTTATTTAATGCAAACTAATTAGTATTGCTCTAAAAAATATTTAAAAAGTTGTTAATAATAGATAATTTCAATTGAAAATGATTTGTTGTCTTTCAATAAATTAATTCCCATATAATCAGTACAAATGTATTGATTTCGTCATATATTTGATGATAATATAAGAAAATAATAAAAAGTAATCAAAATGTTTGAAATCTAATTGTTTTACGATTCGTTTATTGAATATCTATAGCCACGACCTTCAAGGGGCTACTGTTTAGCTCTTATTTGTCTTTCATTCATTAAATCTGTGTTTTTCAAGATTTAACTCTTTTTCATCTCATTTTGTGTTTAAAAGATTTTATAAAAATAAAATTCACATAAAAATTTTAAATTTACTAATTCACACAATGTGTCAAATAAATTCCAATATTATCACATAAATACAGTAAATATAATTTATAAATAATATATACGTTCACCAATCTATAGACAAATATATCCTTTAATCAATCATTCAAAATGAGTTCACAATGAAATCATTGAAACGCTTTAGTATAGATTATTGAATTGTAATGTTATATAATATATCCAGTATATAAAGTACAATGCATTAATTTATCAACCTAACTGTAAAGTACACTACAGTGCAGTGTACAATGCAATTAAGTACAATATATACAGTACAAAAAATAATATTTAAATGAATTTAAAAAAGCTTTGAGATTCAGCATATAATAAAACAATCAAAGTCAACTCAGACACACACACACACACACACACACACACAGAGAGAGAGATGCGTATGTTTAATTCTCATAAGAGCATGATAAGTTTACATAATATTATTATTAAATTTACCTTAATCTTAAGTTATATAATATTCTTAAATACAATAATTTAATAAAATATTTCATGATTATTATTATTGAATCTCAGAAAGCGTAAAATCAAATTCAAAAGTATAGTTTAAAACAAATGTCAAGTTTTGTAATTTGTAAAAACAGCTGCACTTCTCACTTGAGATGAAAGGGGGCTTCAAATGCAATTCAATACCATTATATAAACTTTTTATCACTACATAAGAATCATTTCATCATTTCTTCTCTGATCATAAGACATAAAGATTGCTATCTTTTAATTAGGGAAATATTATTCCGAGTTTTATATAAACTTGTTCAATTTACTCATAAGTTTCCTTGCTTATTTAATTCCTTATTGTGTTAATAATATTAATATATTGTTAAATACAAATGAGTGTTTTGTTATTGGATTCAGAAACTAGACTCTGGACTCCAGACTCGCGACATATCTCTAATAAATTGCTAATCAATTCATACGAAAAACAAAAGTTTAATACAAGTAATGGGTTTAAAGAAGAAATTCCGAANGAGTGTTTTGTTATTGGATTCAGAAACTAGACTCTGGACTCCAGACTCGCGACATATCTCTAATAAATTGCTAATCAATTCATACGAAAAACAAAAGTTTAATACAAGTAATGGGTTTAAAGAAGAAGTTGCCAATGGATATAGTGATGAAGACGGGTATCATAGAAACCATTGGTCCAGAAATGTTGAGGCCATTGATATACTGACGAGTCCTAAGTTTCAGTCAGGAGTTAGACATAATGGACAACCAGAAGGACCGTTAGATTTGGAATGTCTTTATTACGATCAGTTTGATTGTAACTCATCTCCAGAACTACTTTACCCTAAAAAAGAAGTCTTTAATTCTTCTCAAGGATACCAAAGATATCAAAGCGATGGTCAGTCCTCGTGCTCTGGTCTACAAAACACGAGTCAAACGCACGCTTCAGATCCAAACCTCGAGAGTGTGATCGACGACGCGATTTCATTGGAGTCTTCGTTCAAAGCGATCGATTCCAACAATTCCTCGCTTTCTGTGCAACAGTTGCCCAACACTTGTGAATGGATTGACTGCTACTCTGTATTCAAAAGTCAGGACGAATTAGTGAGTTATTGGACTTTATTATAATATTTTTAGTGATTTATACATAACAAGAAAATAATT